CCCCCTCCCCCTCCATCTCCACCTCCATCTCCATCTCCACCTCCATCTCCACCTCCACCTCCACCTCCACCTCCACCTCAGCCTCCAGCTCACATCCACCCTGTCTCCACCCCATCCCACCCCCCCCGTTCCCCTCCAGGTGCTCACCCTGTGCTCCATGGCCCCGTACCGCGTCACCCCGGGGAGCACGTCCCGGGGACTGGCTGTGTCCCCCCCCTGGGGGAGGTCCCACGACGTCTCCCCTGTCACTGAGTTATAGAAGAAAGCCTGCCCGCTGCCTTGGTCCAGGTGCTGCTCCCACTGGGACATCTCCAGGCTGTGGGTGGGCGAGGAGGTGGCCGAGGTGGTGGGACTCACTGCATCGTCCCCCTGCCCAAAGGGACAGTCCCAGGTGGTCTCGCCCGTCACCGGGTTGTAGTAGAAGAGGTGTCCAGTGCTGGTGTCCGTGTGGGTCTCCCAGTCTGACATGGACCTGCTGGGCTCCTCGGGCACCCAACGGGCACCCGGGGCCTCTTCCTGCAGCTCCTGGAGGTTGAGGTAGATGGGAGCAGGTGGCTCCTGCAGCTCCTTCTGTGCCTGGGGGACACATGGGTTGGTGGTGGGTGGAGGGGACAGTTCCTGGGATGTCCCCACCTCAGTCCCCAGGGGGGGTGAGGGGGACTAGAGTTTTTTTGAGCCCAAACCAAGGTCTGTTATTCCTGTGGGAGCACCAGCTGAAGCAAGTGCACAAGTAGAGTGATGTCTGCTGGGGACAGGCTGGGAGGGGGGGACACGGGACATAGAAGGACATGGAGCTCCTGGAGAGAGGCCAGAGGAGCCACAGAGATGATGGGAGGGCTGGAGCAGCTCTGGGACAGGCTGGGAGAGTTGGGGGGTTCAGCCTGGAGAAGAGAAGGCTCCAGGGAGACCTTAGAGCAGCTTCCAGTGCCTGAAGGGGCTCCAGGAAAGCTGGGGAGGGGCTTGGGACAAGGGCAGGGAGGGATGGGATGAGGGGGATGGATGAAAACTGGGAGAGGGAGATTGAGGTGAGACATGAGGAGGAAATTCTGTGCTGTGAGGGTGGTGAGAGCCTGGCCCAGGTTGCCCAGGGAAGCTGTGGCTGCCCCATCCCTGGCAGTGTTGAAGGGCAGGTTGGATGGGGCTTGGAGCAGCCTGGGCTGGTGGGAGGTGTCCCTGCCCATGCAGGGGGTGGCACTGGATGATCTTTAAGGTCCCTTCCAACCCAAACCATTCCCAGATCCTATGATTCTGATTCTATGATGGATCCTGCCCTGCTGGAACATCCCAGGCTGGGTGGTGGAGCAGGGCACCCATGACACCCACAGCACCCACAGTGAGTAGGGAACACCCCACTGGCTGGGGGGGGGGCAGGAGGGTGGCCTGGCTGCATGGAAAGAGTTTGGGGTTTGGGACATCACCAGTCCCCAGTGTCACCCACAACTCCTGCACCCCAACTATGGCATTGGCACCATCAGCACCCCAGCACGTGGGTCCACACCACCTGCACCCACAGGGTCTGCACCCCAATCATCTGCACCCCAATAATCAGCATCATCAGCAGTTGCACCCAAGCCATGAACACCCCAACATCTCCAGCCCCAACACCACCCATCTGTCCAGCACCTGCACCCCGAGCACCCCCACACCAGCACCCCGGGACATCC